CTTTAAAGTGGAAGTTAGCCCCCCCCCCCCCCCCCGGATTTCACTCAGGGTTGTGAAACATTAAAAAACGCGATATCATCAAGAGATCTCGTGTTATTAGTACGAGATCTCGTGATAAAAATATCATAAAACTATCAAGTCCAGAACGGCCGTCCGGTCTGCGGCCATCAGGCCTCGGAATTAATTGTTCCACCGTTGATAGCCAATATTCAGAATGACTGCTCAGTGTAATTATTGTTGGCAAAGTCAGTTACAAAATAATATTAGTATAGATTTTTTTTCTCTTAAAAATGCAAGTTTAGAAATGACTGTAATATGGCTGTATAAAAGACGGTGTCTAGATGTTCCCTTTTGAATATTGGTTTTCTTGAATTCGTGAATAAACAATTATAAATAGATTATCTGTGTGGGTTCTATTATGACAGACCATATCCCACTACATGTATAGTACTATTGTCACCACCACCCCTCAGTTTTTTTGATTGGCCAATTGGCGGGAAAGTCCAGGTCTGTTTTTTGGCCTTAGTCCGCCCATGGTCCGCCCCTGTAGAAATCACAGCCCATCAAGATGATACAGATATAAACTTGGCACATTAAATATTCCACTCACAAACATTTAAACATATTTAAAGTAAGTTTTAGAAATCCCGGGATCTGAAAAAATGACTATAAAAATGTGACTAAAAACTGAATCATTACATTTCGCGAGTGTTTTATTTTGCATGTGACGCTATTTCTCGGGTATTGCGTTTCCTGGTCTACATTAGACTAATCAAAACCAAGAATTACGCAATTCAAGAATTCTAGCTTTATTATGCTTTATTATAACAGCTTGTAGGCAGCACCCAACAATAGCAACGACAACACACGATTGAGTAACAACATATGTTCACGTGATATTACTTATAATAGTGGTATCCAATTTTAATTTTAATTCAAATAAATCGACAGCGATGCACTGATCTGGCGTGCTTTGATCACAATTAGCCTCAAATACCGTAGATACGATTACAAACTTCAGAATCTGTAAACCCGTAATAAAGGAGGAAATGAAGAGTCATCTCCCTATTGTCTGTCTATATCAACCATTATTCTCAGGAATTGCTCACATACATTCAAACACAGGTGATTTAAGCACTATACAGAATGTTTCAAACTTTATTTACAGTGCATTACAAGAACAGGACGAAGACAACTAAGAATATATATTATGTTTTTTCTGATTGTCATTTTTAATTAATTACTAGATAATATATTCAGCAATTTGTTGCATTTCAGCCTGAGTCACAAATAAAATTCATAACTTTATTACCTGCCGCAATAAACATTGTTACCATGCAATAAATATTACATGTAAATAGTAACATTGTGATTGCCAAATTCAAGTTTAGGAAGCTTCTATGATGCGAGTATTTTCCATTTTAGTAATATTCCGCATTCCTTCGCTCGAAATCTGATTGAAAACAGATAAACATCGTCCAAAAAATCAAACGTCCACTGGGACCATCTGCAACGTGATTTATTTAGATCTGGGCTTGTCGACAGATGTTATTTGAATATGTATGACAACGTTTCATATTATTCAGACACATTAACAACCATAATTTGAATTTTTATCTTCAACATAACGAGTGTACATGGGTAAAAAAAAGAGTCTGCGCAATAACAACACGTCCTGTATATGAGTTTTACCACCCAGCACCCCTGGTAACAATGGTTGTGTCCTGGGGTACTGTCTGTTTGGATTGAAAGAGCCGAAGTCAAAACAACAACCGCTAAAATATTCAAAGGAATATTTGAATATTCCAAGACAATCTGACAGGGAGCGTTTTTCATGATCATTTTATATTTTTGACTTCCGCTGTAACGTTGCCCCATTTGAAAATACGGTGCATATATTTTCAAGTAATTCATCATATTGTGAACTTTTCCTGATATACGCTAAGGACATAGATATTTGAATTGTTTTCATGCACTTGTTTGTTGGAAAGCAAACTACGAGTTGAGTGGTAAATGACTAAAACAAGTAATTTTGTGAGATTTCGTGACCTCCTACAAAGTGGGCGTTCTTACATATAATATAGGCACACTGCTTTTCGCTGGTTTTTCATTTCGCTATGTCGTCAATCAGTAAAATCCCCTAAATTAAATTTCCGTGAACACGTGAAATAACATTTTCACTCGTTGTTTCCCTGACAAGTTCTTGAACTTAAACCCCAGTGAAATTGCTCAAAGCTTTAAAATAGTGATATTAAATGGCAGCGAAAATAAATGGTTTTACATTAAAATACTAGTACATGTATATCTTTTTTCGTGATATTAGCGCCCTCAAGTTAAATTGACCTGACATATTCGTGTGTCGTTGATGGCGCATACTGTGTCGCTGAGTAGTATGTCACCGAGTCTGCGCGATAACAACACGTCCCGGAGTTTGCAAGATGATCCACCTTTATTGGTCATTCTCATCTAATTTGCATAATACCTTTACAAAGTGTAATCGCTTCTTGCTTTGTTGGTGTACATTTTAATAAATAAATGTTCCAACTTTTACTTTTGTAAATATCAGGTCAACATATCGTGATAATAATTTTGAAATAACGAGCTCCTATTGCGATAAAATAGGCACATATATCCATATCACGTGGTACATCCTTATTTACATTTCCAAACAAGTGTCGGGTATTCGCTAAGGTCACCAACACATGTGGACTGTAATCAGAAGTCTGAGCGTTGCTGTTATAAATGGGTAAGATACGATGAAATCTTCATGTCGTTGAAATTGTTCATGTTTGTCAGGTTGTAAGTACATCGTATTTATCGATAATAGGGATACAATTGCAGAGTTTTGGCCGTTAGTCGGTCACGTCACGCTCACAGCGTCAGTATGTTGTGCTACTGTAAATTTCGAATCGACTACGAGTATTTCAGGAATTGTTTAAAATCATATTCTGTCTTATTGGGATTGTTATGTTACGATATTTATTCGACATCTTCATTAAGAAAATAACGATACCACTATAAATTACAATTTCAAGACATGTAAACAAGAGCATATTGCCTAGTATGGAACTTAGAAGTGCACTTTTTAAAGCCCCAGTCCTGAGGCACTTAGCTTGGTAACCTTTGTGGGTCCTTTGGCCTTCTCTATACTAGTTTTGAAATGTTGATTCTGCTGATTGTATGAGCAAAATTGAGGCAACGTTTCGAGATTATTATGAGTACGTAATGAAGATCTGACAATAATTCCCTTATAAAAATATAAGGGTTCCTGCATAGTGTACCTGCTCAGCACCAGATAGCTATCGGGAACCTTCCAGATAGGTGTCTTTTTCGCATGCAAATTAGCTATGCGGGAAAGTATCAGGAAGGTTCCCGCTTTATGCGGCAAGGTTCCTGCTTTATGCAGCAAACCATTTTAAAAATGGACTATGCGAGAAAGAATCAGGAAGGTTTCAGCTT